AGACAGACAGACAGACAGACAGACAGACAGACAGACAGACAGACAGACATTCTTGAAGACATTAGCCAGACTCCAAAATCAGACTATAGAAACGTATTTCAGACACGAACAGCCCAGTTTGGGATTGATTGCGCAATCAGAGGTTCAGCTCGGCTCCTTGCTGCCGCACATCACGTTTCACCCCGTATTTCAACAGGAAATGTGCAATTTCAGCGATTTTGACAATTAAAATGATCGCAATTAGTCATACATAAAGATCGGCGGACAAATAATAATATGTCATCGCATGTTTTGTCTTGTGAGGATGACCGCACGTCCCATAAATATATATACACAGCTATATAATTGCAGTCTCTGTGGCTGTGCAAGTTGAAAACCTTGGGAAAGAAACATTTTTCTCAGATTATTACGTACGTTGGCACTCGGCATGCCCTACCGGTAGCCCCCTACCGGACCCCGGCACCGGTAGCCCGGTGTCCCGGTGGCTCCGTGCCCCCCCCCCCCCCCCCCCCCCCCTAAATCTTTAAGATATTTGGTTGAATCTGCTTTAGTTTAGATTCTCATTGGTTTGTTTTTAGTCATGTGACTTGTTTTTAGTCATGTGACAAAAACAAGGAAGTGGGCGGGCTACCGCGATACCGCGGTAAAACACGAAAAACGGAAAACCGGGAATACCGGGAAAACCGGGGAATATCGGGGAAAACGGCCACCGGGGGAGGGGGGCCGGGGCTCCCCAGAGGGGAGACCCGGACCCCCGACCCCGGTTCGATATCACTGTCAGAGTAGACCCGCACCGAACCCCGGTATCGCGGGAGCCCTAGGACGCAGTAGCCCGGTAGCCCCCCCTCCGGCCCCGGTAGCCCGGTTGCCCGGTAGCGCGGTTGCCCGGTAGCCCCCCCTCCGGCTCCTTACCTTGTTCGTGCGTTGCAGTGAGAGTCCGCCATCTTGCCATTTTAGCAAATTTAAATCACTCTGGAATTTGGAAAAAAAAAAAAAACAGGGGTTTTCAAAACATTTAGGGAAACTCCAGATGGGAAAACAAGTAAAAGTTGCAAAATGACATTTAGTCTTTCAAATCTTCATTTTAAACTGTAAACAAGGAAAAAAGTACAAGTAGCTTATAACTGTACTTATAATATAGAATGAATATGACTGTTTTAAAAATATAAAGTAAAATTTAGGGGGACATTACATACATACATACATACATACATACATACATACATACATACATAC